ACATGGTGAAACCCCGTCTCTACTAAAAATACAAAACATTAGCTGGGCATGGTGGCGCGTGCCTGTAATCCCAGCTACTCAGGAGGTTGAGGCAGGAGAATTGCCTGAGCCCAGGAGGCGGAGGTTGTGGTGAGCCGAGATCGCGCCATTGCACTCCAGCCTGGGTAACAAGAGTGAAACTCCGTCTCAAAAAAAATAAAATAAAATAAAAAAATAAAAGAAGGTGCTACTTGTCCTTTTAACTCCGTGCTGCGCTTCCTGGGGCTGGAGAGTGATGAGCTGATGATGAAACTGCTTTGGCCTTGTAAATGGAGACAACATCCTAGGGAATGACAAAGAAATAAAACATAAGAAACCAGGATCATGGGCAACCCTTTTGGCGGAGTTTCCTCAACCCTGGGACGGTCGATTTGCCTTACTTCTGTGTGCAGTCTTTATGTTGCTTAAGCCATTTATATTTTGCCCTCTGAGAAAGCAGCCAAATTAATTTCCAAATTAATACAGTATTCACACAGGTAAAGAAACAGTACAGCTGGGCACAGTGGCTCACTCTTGTAATTCCAGCACTTTGGGAGGTCAAGGCAGGCAGATCACGAGGTCAGGAGATCGAGACCATCCTGGCTAACATGGTGAAACCCTGTCTCTACTAAAAATACAAAAAACTAGCCGGGCATGGTGATGTGTGCCTGTAGTCCCAACTACTCGGGAGGCTGAGGCAGATGAATCGCTTGAACCCAGGAGGCGGAGGTTACAGTGAGCTGAGATCTCGACACTGCACTCCAGCCTGGGTGACAGAGTAAGACGCTGAAAAAAAAAAAAAAAAAAAGGCAGTCACAAAACAGTCTGAGAAGGGCTGAAAAAAGATAAGAATAGTCACCAAATGAGGAGCACAGGGCAGGAGCAGCTGGTCCATAGTTGGAGTTGGAACATTCTCCCAAGAATGTGGTGTCTCATCAGAATCCTGAAGGCGGAGAGGGTGAAGGAAGGAGGTAAATGACCTGAGCAGAGAACAAAGGCCTAGATAAGGGAGGGGCTGGTGTCAATGGGAAGAAGCAGGTGGCCTCTCAAGTTTGTACGTAGGTTTCTGTTGAAAACGTGCCCAAGTAGTATTTATGGGAGGATCTTATTTCCAAATCTAAAAATGTAAAATGCCTTTTACCCCAAAAAGTATAAGTAGGTAAAAGTGTAGCACCCTATACTTTTTAGGTAATTAGGCATTTTATAACATTTTTAGCTTTTGAACAGAATCTTTTATCATTTATAGGTGTCTGTCACTATTCAAGATCTCACTTTTTTTTTTTTTTAAGACGGGATTTCACCATGTTGGCCAGGATGGTCT